CTTTATTAATCTCCAACCAAACATGCTTAGGGCCCCAAAACCCACCGAGATCGCTGCATTCCTGCTTTCCATCAGGACCCTTGAAGTATCTAGGTACTGGATTGCCATTTTTATCAAGTAACTTAACTTTATAATCTAAATAATTGTATTGACTTTCATTATCCATAAGCACTGGGGGATGTTTTACCTTAGGATCCCAACGTGCAAGTGGAGGAGTAAACTCAATGACCCAATCGTCGTTATCGGTGTCACTACTGGTTATACTTCCTTCGTCAGAACAGGAACATGAGTCTATTTGAGGAGAGAGAGGTTTTACCGTATCGGTGTAACAAGGGCATTCAGGATTATTGGGTTCCGGCAATGGTAATAACCCAATAGCTTGATTATATGCTTTTAAACAAATTTCTTGACATCTATTACGGAACGTAGACTGAAGGAGGCGACATTTCCGTCTCGTTTCTCGACGTTCTCTTCGTTCCCTCTGTTTTTGAATTTTAGCTTTTTCTTCTTCAGTTTTTCCTATTGTGTATATTAGTGGTGGTTTTTCATCATAAGGATATTGGAATATCAGACGTTCTTTTGAGTATTTTTTGAAGACTTCCATCTGTACTGTGTAGTCGCCATTCTTCTTTTTCACTACTAGCGTCGGTTTCATTTCCATTTTCTTCTTTCTTTGTAATAAGGCTCTCTTTTTTTTCGCTATAATATCAACACCTTCTCTAATTGCTCTGTACCGTCGTACCAGTATCTTGTTGGCTGCACCCGGCCTCCATTTCGGTCGAAACTGTTAAAAAAAGACATTATATTTATATGATGTAACATACAAGTAAAATTAATATTTTAAAAAACAATAAAACACAATATAAAGAATAAATTTTTTATTGTAACGATTACATTTATTTTGCAAAGTTTTTATGACGTATTTTTCATTAACTTGGTGAACCACATTTTTGCTGTATCCTGAAAAATTAATACCATAATTGTTAATTTAACATAAAAATTAATTATTTTAAACATAACTTATTTCATCAACAGTGATAGACAACAAAATAAACAAAAATAAAAACTCACCACAAAAAAAAGAAAAAAAGACATCATCACGCAATAACCAAAACACAACAAAACAAACATGCGAACACTTATGGTGTCATAAAAAAAAAACAAGATGGAATCATCATTGTTAAAAACATTAATCCAAACCATTTCAGTTTTAATGCATAGTCGATGGAAAAAATAAAACGAGAACAGCGAGTAATAATATTAAATAAAATAAAAGTGTTCACCTTTAAGCCCGGAACATCTTCGGCTGTCCAAAGCCAGCCCATATTTTTCGGAACAGGCGGAAATGGGTATTTCACCTCTGGCGGTTTCTCAACAGGTGATGCTGGAATTAAAAAGAAAACAATAATAATACACTTTTGTAATAGTTATATTAGATCTAATGTCTTCTGAATTTATTATGTTGTACACGAAGACATCTTAAGTGATCACGGTATGAAAAAATAAAACTTACGTTGTTTTTCAATTTTAGGAACTATTTTGTTTGGTTTCTCTTCTTCTTTCTTTTTCTTTGCTTTAGATTTCGTTAACGCTTTACTAGATTTCATCTTATGTGAGCTTCTGAAGGATCTATCAGAGCCCATCTGATCCGATTTAGACTCATGTATGCCAGATTTTGTTCCGCGCATTTTCTTTTCTGATGTCTTCGTGTCTCCGCCTTTAGTACTTTTTATACTCAAAGTATCTTGTGCTTTCTGAGCGTCCTCGTCGGGCCATGGACTTGGTACTTTTATGAAATGCTTGTCGTAAAGCTTATTATAAACAGGACATGGGTGTGGCTGAAGAAATTCGGGCAACTGTTTTACATCTTCTCCTATGCATTCATAGCCTCCGCAAACAGCACAATAAGTGGTTTTATTCGAAAAGTTAAAATTGCAAATACAATCGCAGTAACAGGGATCTTCAGTAACGCAAATCTTTTTTTCACTTCTGGCTCCTTGCACTATAAAATCTTTTACTGTTTCAACCACATTACAAGATTTAACACAACAAGGGTTTTTAATTTCATCAAAATCCATGACAACATTACTGTCGTCAGGACTCGGCTGTATGGTTTGACTCAAGGAATCGCAGACACTTTTCGTCGTAGGATTTTTATTACTGTCTTTAGTCGATGAAAATGTACAAGCACTTTTAGAGCAGGACGTTTTCTCTGTAGCTTTAATACTGGGACATTCCGATGTACAATATTCGAATTTAGAAGATTTATTGGTACTTGTGTCTGGTGGTGAAGATGTTCCACTGCCACTTTTATCATATTTCACAAAAAAATAATATACATTATAAACTTGTGTCGTATTAGGCTTATCTCCAAACGGACAACCTTTTTTCTTACAAGCTCCTTCGCTGTCACTCGTAGAAGAGTCATCGCTGCCACTCGCCTTAGGCGGTTTCTTGTTCATAAATGCATTTTGCATTTGCTCTATACAAGCACATTGAGTAGAAAGACCTTCAACATTATTAATCTCTTTAAATACTCCTTCTTGACGAAGAAATTGTTGAATCCTTTCAGCTAAAGTACATTCTTTGCTTCCACAAGGTCCAATAATGTCGTCTATTTTTATTTCTTTGTTGTCTTCCTCTATAAGGTTTTCTATATAGGCTCGAACACCTCTGGCTATTTTGCAATCGTGTCGCCCGCAAGGACCTCTTATGTTAGCTATGTCAAATGTCGCCGCTACTTTTCCAGTCGGCTTTGCATCTCTTGCACCAGGCGTTCTACACAGAGGACACGGATCTTTTTGCACTTCTTTTTTAAATCTCGATGAAAGTTCGTTCTGCGGCCAGTTGGTTTCTTTGCAGTAGCATAGCCTATCAATATCTGTCGCTTTTATTCTTGGCTTTATTGTCGGACGAGGAGTCAGCATTCTCATATTATCGTAACATGAGGTTATAATTTTTCGAACATATTCTATTATGAAATCTATATCGGGACAAGTTTCTGGCGCCTTATGTGGAGAGTTTGGTGGTTTATCTGCGTGACCCATACAACAGTAATCTCCATCAGTAAAGGTAAATCTTGCACCTGGTGCATTTTTGTAATCAGCGAAAATCATATGTGGAGGACGTGGTTTATCTATAATATAATTATTTTCCACTTTGTTGCAGTTCTCTTCGAACACCTCATCTGTCGTCTTCATCGTGCATATATAGGATGTTGTTTTTGAATTCATACCGGTGTACAATACTTTTTTTATTACTGGGTCTTCCGAAAGCGTGCGAAACGCTGATGTTACCTTATCGCCTAAGTATGAAAGTTTAACTTGAATTCCAAGCTTTGCTATTAATTTAGCTGTTCCTTCTTCAAATATATTGTATTCTTCGTTCAGAGTTACTGGAGGTGCGTCCTGGCATTTGTAAAGTAATTCTAAATACTTGAGAAACTGGGAATCCCATGGTATTGAAACAGATCCGATGCATGTTGTATAATCTTCTTTATTCCATAAAGATATTTGCATTGGGCAACCTTTCATATTCTGTGTGAGTACTTCGGGGCTGCTGGAAAATAATACAGACTGCCCAGACTGTATCACAGGCTCCGGGGGCGGGGCCTCCACTGCACCCTTTTTCTTACCCTTTGGCTTTTTCTCTTTTTTTTTCTTTTTCCCTGGCGGCTCAGGTGGCAAGGGAAGGGGCTCGGGCATAACTATATGCATTTGCTTGGGATCTTTTAATTCTAAGGAAAATATGTCAGCAAAATCACTTCTTATAACCAATTCTGTGGAATTTGTCATATTTTTAACACTTTGTACCACAACTTCGAAAATGAACATAGCATTTGTAACAGACATTTTCCTTTTTCTGCTTTTTTTTGTATTTTAACTGTTAATCATTTAAACAACTATTTTTGCTTAGATTTTTTGTGTATTTTCAACTTGGAAATTTAATAAGTCAAAATGACATAAAACTTTTTCGTTTAAATGTGTTTTAAGGAGTTTTTATTCAGTAACGTCACTAGAGGCACCGATAGTATCACAATGTGGTCCGTATAGCATTTGATTTGGCACGTCGGACACAACAGTGTTGTTTTGCCCAACGTGCCAACTTAAGCACCAGGTAGAGATTTTTATAGAACAAATATTTGTTACATAATTAACAAGGACCTCGAAAATATAAATATGATTATTCAATGATATTTTTTCAATTCAATCCACAATTTTTTTTTCTCTGGAAAATTTTTATATCGTACAATAAGAGATAAAATGTTTTAAGGCTGTTTCTGCCGAAGAAAATCATGGTAATTTGTAAAAAAAAACACACAAATGTAAAAACATGAACAACTTTAATAAAATATAAATTTATTAAAAAATAATAAGAAATGACAATATTCTTTGTACTGTAGTCATAAAATATGAAAATCCATAAAAAACGTATTTATTATGTTCTTCCACTGACATTTTATATAAGTTTATAAAAAAAAGAAACACATAAATATCTAATACCCAAATAAAATTAATATAAAAGTTATAAAATTAAATTCCCCATCGAATATTGAAAATAACATAACAATAATAATTCTTTGTCAATATGAAATAAAAGCAATTATTCTATTAATTAACAATGCTGCAAATAAAAAGAATGAAGATAAAACCTTTAATATTTACTTCTTATCATTCATAAAATTGTGAGCGTCGGTGGCTCAGTGGTCAAGCACTTGACTTGCGATCTGCAGGTCCTGGGTTCGAATCCCGCCATGTACCAATGTGTTTATCGATTTCCGATTTACATATGTACATTTATCCGACGTTCTTATGGTGAAGGAAAACATCGTGATGCAACCTGCACATATCTGATAAGAAATTCAATTATATGTGTGAAGTCAACCAACCCGCACTTGGCCAGCGTGGTTGACTATGGCCTAATCTTCCTTAACTTAGGGTAGGCTTCGAGCCCCTCGGTGGGGACGTACATATAGTGAGCTGATGATGATGATTCATAAAATTAAATTAAAATTAATTAAAATTGAAATATCAAGTATTATCTCGTCAACTACCTAAGACATTCAACATGTTTATATTTTGGAATATGTTTGTCAACTTCTTAGAAATTCTTCTAATATTTTAAGTTGGTCCCAACAGACCAACAGTAAAACGGTGTGAGGACCCAAACGTAGATAGTTGGCACCAACTCCCTTGTAGAAGGCCCCAGCTCCCTCAGACCTCAACATCTTGAGGAAACAGTCAGACATACCGCGATATAGTGTACCTTTATTGTTATTGTCCACGGCTGAAAATATAAATTACGGAAAAAGTTCATACGGAAGCTTCGAAACAATTTAAAAAACACACATGTAGATTTAATTTTGTTTCCTAGAAGTGGTAATGATACTCATAGCGGCTTAATCCTCATTCAACAAGACTGAAGGATAGTTAAACTTACTTTTTTACTTTTCACTAAGCGTCGTTTTAAAGTAAAAAGGGTGTAAAAATACTTACGTTGATTGGAAAGCCTAGTGGCCATCACGTCAAATGGGTTCAAACAAAAGGTCATGACAACCCCGCCAAGATTGGCGCCAAGAAATGACAGCAGGAGTGGCGAGGTGGTGCAGATGTCACGGTCAAGTAGCCACTGCTTGGCATAGGCGAAGCTCACCATCTGAGAACTACTGCCAACTGCGCCGCGCGGGATTTGAGGGTAAACACCACGGAATATACCTAGAGGTTTGAATGACATTAATAGTAGTTGAAGAAACCTCTAATTATTAATAACTAGCTGTCGCCCTCGACTCCGTCCGCGTGGATATATAAAAAACTTAAATAGTGCAGCTCACCCATCCATCCACATCTAAACATTCGAATTTATAATATTAGTAAGTTAAATAAAACGCAGCTCTTCAAGGCATACATTCGAAAAAAAGAATAAATAGTATCCTATGTCCGTCTCCTGACTTTAAGCTACCTCCTCACCAACTTTCAGCCATATTGGTAAAGCCGTTCTTGAGTTATAAACAGTGTAACTAAAACGACTTTCTTTTATATAGATTTTGAAAACAGTTCGGTAAGATTATAAAAATACAGCTTGGAAGAAACATACTAACCCTTAACACCTTCTCTTCTGTAAATATCTATCAACGCATTGAAGGTCCCGCTGTGTGTATGCTGATATCCGACAGCGATGGCTTTAGCGGCCTGCGCCTGCAGTCGTGTCTTAACTAGAAAGAACGGCGTGCCTGCAATGGAGCCGAGCGCGCCGCCGAGCCCCGCTGCAACCGCACCGCCCACCACTGACACTCGACCATCGCCATCAGTAATAAGACCACGACGTTCCGATATACGGTATACTCCTAATCTGAAATATATTTCTAGTAACTACTAACATATCGGCCTCTGCTCTGAGACTTTGTATTTTAACTAAAGTCTTAGTATAATTAATGATTAAACATTATTTTACATTTTATACCTGGACTTACCTAAACGTATTCAAACAAAATTGGAATCCTAGCATGGCGGGCAATCCGCTCTGCAAGGCTAGCAAGCCCTCAGCACGCCCAATGACAAACAAGCCATGAGGCACATTCCTATAGAAGACAGCGTGTTTTCCGCGCGCGGCCAACTCTCCCTGCAGCTGCAGACGGGTCTTCACAACCTCGATAGGATTAGTAAATAGCGTCGCAAACATCGCCGATATCCCGCCCATCGCCATGTCTGTGACGTCGCGTAGGACGCCATCTTTTCTTGTGCGTGTCATATTTCCCGCTGTTTTCGGGCCCTAGGAATTAGTTTAGTTTAAGAAAATATGTTTTTATTTTATGAATATGATTATATAAGATTACCGATGAAATGATTCCATTTAAAATAAAATATTAATTCGTAAAAAAAAGACAGTTTTACTCTAAAACAATTTATTATTTCTCAAACAATGATCAACAATCTCTTCATAAACATTTTTGGTGTACAAATTTTCTACTAAACCTAAAGTTTATTTGTAATTTATAAGTAAACAACTTATCTAAACAATTGATTTATTAAGTAGAGATAGGAATAAAACGATACTTCAAGTACGATAATTGCACGTAAAGTCGCGGCGGTGCCTTGGTCCATAAATAATATCTATAAAAGTCAATTTCAATGATTACAAAACTATTCCATAGATTAAAAAAGCCATCGATAATGTAACCATGCGCTACTGCCGAAATAAAACAACAACATATCGTCATCTCTGTTTTAGCCAAAAGAACGAAAGAGATGACAGTATTATAAATTCAAGGTCATGGCTGTCATTACAGAAATACGAATTATACATAACACATCGTCATTTATAAGTAATGTTATCATAAATTGAATAATATGTTGTTGGCCTTGACTGGATTTATCTTATATTTAAAGTAAATAAACTATTCATAATGTAATGATAAGATTCATCATCATAATAATACTGAAACATCAAACTGTGATGAAACCTAACCTAACAAAATATCTATTTTAAAAATAGGTACACAAATCGATCAGGCACAAAAAGTAGCAGATAAAAGTGGGATTTCACTGGCAGACACTTAGATATAACACAAGATTAGCATAAATATGATCTTTGGCAAATTTATACATACATTAATTACCTAATTTCAATAATAGAACTCCTACAGATAATGTGAAAATAACAAATAAAATAATTTAACCTCATTTGGTATCGAAAATACATTTCAAAATGAATGCCTAGATTATTTTAACATAGAAAAAGATTTATTTGAAACAGAGCAAATATCTATAACTCTATGGTTATGCATTTAATTTCTTCCAGCCTAAATATTTTTCTAAATCCTTCAACATGTCCCAAAATACCAGAAGCAGAACCGAATGTGGTGCTTGCCTGAGGTATGATGGTCCTATTCCTTTGTAAAATGCCAAAAGACCTTCTGTCTTGGTGATCTTACGCGCACAGTCCAGTATACCTGAATAAAGAAGACCACGACCATTTGCGTCTACGGCTGAAAAGAAACAATAATAATGAAGAAAAATAAAAAAGTCAAAAGCGTATGGATTTGTGATTCATCATCATCATCATCAGCTCACTATACGTCCCCATCTAGGGGCTCGGAGCCTACCCTAAGTTAAGGGTGATTAGTCCATAGTCAACCACGCTGGCCAAGTGCGGTTTGGTTGACTTCACACATATCATTGAATTTCTTCTCAGATATGTTCAGATTGCATCGCGATGTTTTCCTTCACCGTAAGGACCTCTGAGTTGTTGAAAAACATATGAGCAATTGTTATTACACTGTGAACCCTATTCTAATCGCAATAGGGTTGAAAATATCTTAATTTATTCAAGAACCTTACCTTGATTGTATAGTCGCGTCATAATAACATCCATAGGGGTAAGTGTAACGGTTTTCATAATAGCCCCAATGTTACCCGCTATAAATGCTGATAGATATTTTGATTGCTGGAATAAATTATTATTGTCCATCCATTCTTTGCTCCTGAAAAATAATTTGAATGATTTAAGTATACACAGAATTTATAAAAACTTAAAACAAAACAGGAACTCTGTCTGTCCGTAAATCTGAGTTTATTCCCGGTAAATGACAGGACTTTTAATAAAAAATTACTTATGTATGTGAGAATCACATAAGCTAATTGTTTTATTTTGACAAAGACGCTCAACCACTACTTATAATGTAGTCAATATCTTCATCTTGGACAGATCATAGACAGTAATATATATTGGTACAGATTTGTTTGCAATTAAAAATGAAGTAAACAAAAAAATACTTACATAGAGAAAGATGCAATTTGTGACGCTGATCCAATAGAATTTCTTATCATCATCCCATGAGCTCCCCTAAACAAACCGGACAAACCATTCTTCCTGTATATCTTCATGATTGCATATGTCATACCACTATGTGCATGTTGCGTACCAACTGCTATCTTTTCTGAAGAATATGACATTAACTGTGTCTTGACTAGTTGCAACGGGCTACCGAAGAATGCTCCTACCATCCCAGCCAATGAACCAAAGAACAAACTATTTATAAACTTTGTATTGTTCATGTCATCTCTTAGTAAACCATAATCATCGGCATGTTGGTATATACCTAACCTAAAATAATTTTAAGTATGAATTATGTCGAACACTATATTGTTTGCATTAAAATAAGCATTATTTTTTTCATAAAATATTAAAATAGAGGCAACTTAAAGAAGGTTAAAGATGAAAAGCTAAATGATAAATGAAATATTGAGATGTGATTGTTTATTGGTGAATGAATAGTCAAATAATTTCATTTCAAATAAACAAAGTTGATATTTTGTTAGTATTTTTATTAAAATGTTAATATTTGATTACCATAAAACAAATGAATGATGGATTGTTCCTGGAAACATCCTGTATACTTCCTTATATATCCTTGATTACAGTGAGTTTTCTCTCATTTCATAGAATAAATTCTGCGAACAGAATCATTATATCATATCAGCGATGATTAACAACATGCAACAAACTTTACACAAAATTTGTGCTTATTGATGATTAAAAGAAAACCAAAATGTAAAGATTAATTTAAAACAGTAGGTTTTATCTATAATCAAAATGAAAGAAATGAATATGTGAGTTACAACTTGATTAGTAAATGTAGAAGCTTTATCATAATTATGCTTTATTAGTATGAAAATCTAACTTACCGCACTCCATTGACAACCAATTGGAACCACAGAGCAGGCACCAATCCTTTTTGTAATGAAGCCACTCCATCATGTTTGATAATAGTATAAATTGCATGTGGAACATTTTTATAATACACATTATGTTGTCCGCGTGCCCGAAGCTCTCCTTGCAACTGCATACGCGTTTTCACCACATCAAATGGATTACTGAAAAAGCCTGCGCCAACGCCCGCAAGGCCTCCCACGAGAAAATCCATATTTGCTATAAAACGTATCGCGATATTATTTAACAATAAAATCGCAGTAATCACCACATAACTCGTTATTTACGAGCGACAACATCAAACAACACGCATTTTTGAAACAAGACCTCCGATAAAGATATCCTCTAGCCCGACGGAGACAAATCTTGTAAGAAATATTTACTTTTACATCATACATCGAATCATGTGAAAAACATACTGAAGTGACTTTATACTTACTTTTTAACACTTTTCCTTCCTTAATAATTAAACATAATTAAATTAAATAGTGCGATATTTGCTACATAAGTTTAATTTTGTAATATTTACAATTCGAGGTTACGAGTATTGTATTATTCCAATTTGACGTAACATTACGTCAACATGTTTGACGTGAATGTCAAAAAGATCAGCTGATTATGAAACAAATCGTCAATGACGTGAACCATAAACAAAACATAGATAATATAAAAATGGATCGCAAAGAGACAAGGACTTTTCTAATATCGATGTTAAATCACATGAATTACTCCTTTGTTTACAATATTATGTGCTGAAAAATATTACTAAATGCAATGCAATTATAGAGCAAAAAATTCATACAGTCATCTTCTTTAGTGGTATTGCAAAAAAACTGCTTTGCTCAATGTTAACTCGACAAGATTTTGTCGCAAGGCAATCAAGGCTTTTTTTTGTTTGAAATACCAGTAAAATAAAATAAAACAACTGAATTGATTGTAACGTTTTATTTTTCAAAATACAATAATGATTGCAAGTATAAAAAATTACATACCACACAATTGAGCATTCATAACATATTTATGGTAACTAAAATAAAATTATGCAATAAAACCTAATTGCTATCTATTTCGCCCTAATTAAAAAAAAACTATTTTAAGTAGGCAACACAAGCAATGATTGCTGTTGATATTAAAAATGTTTATTAATATTTTATTCTTACAAATTGTCTTTACTTCGCATGGTTCATAATTAAACGAAAGTTTTAGTATATTTTATTCCTCAAAATCAGATAGCAAACTACCTACATCATTTATAATGCTGCTAGTGTCCTTTGGTAGTTTTAAAACATTACCGGCACTTTATTAAGTTTTCACTTTATTTTGCAATCTGCTATTTTTATTAGTTCATTATTTTCTTAAATAAATCTCACTAATCGACACCAAAATACATTACAACATGCACGGTACAGTCTAGTGGAAGACTTGTGAAAATTGGCACTAAAATGTGCACATAATCTATAATTCTAGTTGTATGGAACCAATGTTTGTGCGTTAATTTAATACTTATATCTAAAAACCTATTTTAAATATGGATAGTGAATTATTTTATCAATAGAACTGTAAAAAAATATTTATTCACAAGTGATTTAAAATTGAATACCAGATCATTAGACTACGAGCACCATCAAATCACGAAGTTTAAACGCGTTTATGACGGGTAGATGCCTAACATACCCGGATGGAGACACCGCATGGATCAGAAGACTCGTACTGTTACATCAACCATTAAAATATTTTATATTTACTAGCTGTGTTGCCATATCTTGCCTTAGTTTCTTGTACTAATTTATTCCATTGAAATGCATATTAAAATAATGTTCACTGGACTGCATATAAACTATTAATATTTAAAAAAAACTTATATTATTTTAACAAAATTATAATATATTAATTAAGATTTTTGTACATAAGACTACATAGATAATAAATATAAATTTGGATGGATTGTTTTACAGTTCTGTTATATTGATGACCGTTATTTACCTTAATATATTTACCAATAAAATTATGCAACATGTAAAATATGGTCAAACACTTGATTAAGTCATTTGGCAGTGCTTATGAATTATAAAAATTAAATATTGGAATATAGAAATATTAAAAATGTAACAACAAAATTAATTTTAAAACAATATTACTATTATACACTAAAAATAAAAAAAAACAAACATACTTTTAAACTAAGTCGTAATTTTTGTTGGTCTGTTTTGTTATTACAATGTTTATGTGTTTATGAAATTTAAATTATAAACATTTTTTTAAATACAATTATAAAAAACTAAATATCTGAGATATTTTCATATCTTTATATTTGAAGAAGTCGGTTAAAAAAAATAGCTGGATGCCTACAGAAAAGCTGCTAAGACATTATATTCGCGCGCTTTCGTAACGCCATATTTTAAAGAACAAGATGGCGACGGAATTTACGAAATCCATGTTACAGTTGCGTTCGTTCACGGTATTCCAATTACAGAAAAATTGCCTTGCGCAACGCAAAAAAAAAGACTGCTATTTTTTAAATTTAATTTTAGGTTGCTGGACATATTTTCAACAATTAAAAAAATTAGGAGTTTTTGTACTGTATCCCTGATTAACAAACTTCACAGAGTATAAAACATCCAAAATATTATCGCTTTTAAAATGGAACACCGCCAACGAAGGTGATTGTACATGGCGCATTTTGTGGTGTATTGTGTATGGGGTGGCATGGATGTGGCATGACATGTGTCATTGTGTGCGGATATCAGACAACCGGCATATTTGTCCGAAGCAGCGGACGCGAGCGCAGTCCCTGAGAACACCGCTCTGTCACCTGCGCCGGAGTGCTGCTTCGAGTCTCCGGGAAATATTTTCTACGAATTAAAACAATAATTAATTATATTTAAATTATTCTTTAAATATCTTTTTTTATTTTCTTACTTGAAATTGACTATATCAATTTACCAATGTTTTGTAAAAAAAAATATTACCTGACAAATAGGAAGAGAGCACCAGTGATGATGGAGAAGATGAGGAAGGAGTAGGCTCCGATGAGATGGCGCATGGTGGGGAAGCAGAGGCCGACGAGGAAGTTGCCGCCCCAGTTGGCCAGCGAGCCCCACGCCATCGCCGCCGGACGGGGACCCACCTCGAACATTTCTGAAAATATAAACACGGGCACGTACATAAAAGGTTGTTAAACTGTTTTTTACCTTTTAAGACTAGACAAAGATAGATAATCGTATATTTATTCATGCGTATTGTCCTCGCTTCTTCATTTTGTTAGTTTTGTATGTAATTAATTATATACCTGAGGCAATAAAATATGGGATGGGTCCGAGTCCGAAGCCGTAGACTAGAACATACAGTAGCACCGCGACCGTGCACACGTACGGCATCCATGACACTAATTCCTGCAACATAATAATGAAAATTGATTTATGTAAAAATATAAAATAAAACATTGTAATATTCTGATGAGAGCGCCATCTAGCGTCAGTTTAACATTAAATGTGAAGAGGCCAAACAATAAGACAGTTTGATGGAATCCAGCTCATCAGGCATTCCACGACCGGAGTTAATTTTAGTTAACGTTCTCTGCCTACTCTTTACTTAGAAGGAAATGAACGGGACTAGGAAGTGTCATTGCGGGAGGAGGGGACGTACAGAAATGGGTGTTTTTTATTTTAATGCATCCTCTCCTCCGTTGATTAAATGTAGTCAGGAAGACGGTGAAGTTGACGAGGAAGATAACAGAGTAGAACGTGGAGTCGACACAACTACAAGGTATGCATAGGTATGGAAGAGCAGTAGCGAGGAAGACGGGGCAGAGCAGAGGTATGATACAGGAGAAGACACAAGTACAAGTACCAGGAGGACATGAGTGGTGAGGGGCTTACAATAGCGTTCATGGCGGCGGCGAGCGTGGCGAGGCAGAGGGTGGCGCAGAGCGCGGAGCCGAGCAGCAGCGGGCGGCGGCCCTTGCGCGGCAGCAGGTAGGGCATGAGCGCGGCGGTGCACACGTTGATGAAGCCGCACCCGATGGTGGCGTACTGCGCGCTCATCACCGACAGACCCGCCTGCATGAAGATCGTCTGCGAGTAGTAGAACACCTGCAACAACACAATATCGTCACATTCAATTCTTGGCTTTATTAATTTATAGGTGTCTATGGTTTGCGTGGGTGTGTGCGTGTGTGCGTGCGTACCGCGTTGATGCCGGATGTCTGCTGCCCGGCCTGCGTGCTGCAGACGAGCAGCAGCGGCAGACGCAGCCGGGTGTCGGCGGCGAGGCGCGCCATGCTCCAGGCGCGCTCCCCGCTGGTGGCCGCCGCCTCGGCCGCGCGCCGCTCCTCGCGCATCGTCTCCACGTCCTCGCTCAGGATGCTCGATGACACACCGCGCAGTCGACTCAGCTCTGCAAATTGGAACAAAAAACATCAATAAAGATAAAACCTAAAGCCTTTACGTAATAAAATTACAGGATACATAAAAAAATAAACTTACGTTTCATCGCAGCAATTTCATTTTTCTTAACAATATAAAGGTACTTTGGACTTTCTGGTAAAATATATAAAAGAGGTAAACAAATAATGACTAGTACAGCATAGACGGACAGTAAGTATGGCCAGTCTTCAACACCGCCTGCAACAATACCGACAACATTACAAACAAAATCTAAATAATACTAATATCTTTTTTAAAAACATTTATTATTTCCTTAATGTATCTTCGCTTTATTGGATCACACTTACCCAACAAGAAATTCAAGCCCATAACTTGTCCAACCAGGACCCCCACATTGACCCCCATGGGGCAGGCGACCCCCATAGCGCCGGTCAGGCTCGGCGGCGACAGCTCCGTTAAGTACATCGGCACTATACTTGTTGTCAGACCTACATACATTGATATTATATATATATATAAGTAAATTTATTAAAACTGACTGACTGACCCTCTGGAATAAAATCATTTTACTCATTTAAGCTCCAGTCCCACTAGAACTTACGTACAAAACTGTATAAAAAGACCAGAGGTCAAATTGTATATGTTAGTCTTCTTCCCCTTACTAACCTTTTTCTTATAAGAAATGGGTAAGAAGATTATTTGGTCGCTTGCTAATTTGCCATCTTCTGCTATTCCGGAGGAAACCCGTGTAAAATGTTTGTGAAAGACAGCATACCTCCAGCCAGACCAACGAGCAGCCTGCCGAGGACCAGCATCTCCACAGAGTTAGCGGCGCGGCACAGCAGGAACAGCACCGCGCCCGCCAGGAACAGACAGCTAGTCGCGATTGATGCATTCTTTCTGCAAACACACATACATTTTTTGAAATATTAGTCAGCTATACGTAAACTTTCAATTCTTTCTCATCATAGTTTATTGCAGATATAAAAAAAAAATATTGTGATTAAAATACAAGTATTATTCTTCCAAACAATGTTTGTATGTAACACATTGTTACCTGCCGAGTTTGTCTGCGAGCACGGAGCCGAGAATGGAACCGGTGCATCCTCCGACAATGAAGGCGGACACCACGGAGGACCAGAGGATGTTCAGCCAGGCCTCGTCCAGAGGCAGGTTGTACCGGCTTACGAAGCTCTCAT